CACACCTCAGCAGTGTGAGCAGACTGTAAGGTTTCTATATTTCTATATTTTGCTCAGTGGATTAAAAAAAAAAAAGTGACCGCTGCCTTCAGTGCCTGATTCAACCTGTGCTCTGTGAGGAAGCCTTTAACTGAAATATTTTGCTCTTGAGATCAACAAACTCAGATGCAGTTGCACATGCTGGTGTGGAGAAGTGCAGGTCGAAGGTGAGTGGGAGGTGTAGCGGTGAAAAAGGTGAGCTGGAAATGAACCAACCCTACGATAAAGCTCCTGGCTGTACTGACTGAGTGACCTGTAGAACTGCAAGAAGGGATGAAGAAGGAAGGAACAATGATGCTTGCATGAGAAATAAATGAATAAACATTTAACTTTAAGCTCTGCTGTCTTGCTCCCGCGATCATGAAGCAGCAGAAAACTGTTTTTTGGGGGGTAAGTGCGTGTGTCTTTCTGATGGTCTGGCTTTTGTCTGCATACAGACCTGGTAACCATTGAAAGCTGAGCCTGGGTTTCTGGAAGAGGACAGACCATTGAGGCTGTACAAGTCAGAAGAAGCGTAAGAGGCCTGAAATGAGGAGAGCGAGAGTGATGAGCAGAGATAAGAGGGAGACGAGAGAAAAACTGATAGGAGGTTCAGAAGGTCACACAGCTGTTTGTTGAAGCAGTATTTAAAAGAGTGCAGCAGTACACACACACACACACACACACACACACACACACACACACACACACACACACACACACACACACACACACAATTAAGGGTATTCCTTCCTGACTTCACTTTGGTACCATTGTAAACTACGGTACTGTGCAAAAGTCTTGAGCCTTCTTCCTATTTTTGAAGAACCAGGCATTCTTATATTTTTAAAAGTTCTTCTGGTTTTCTGATAATCTTCTCTTTTCAGAAGTTATTGGCTGCTTTTTTCCTTTCATTTTCAGTCCAGTCCTTGTGCCTGTTCGTTAAGCCATTAATGACTGACCTATTATTATTCAAGCATTAAAAAGACACCTAACTCAACAGATGAACCGGTTGTGTCTACATATAACAGACAACTTAGCAAAGAGCCCGTTTTAAATTGTATATTTAGGCACTCCTAGCAGCCTGTCACAAAAAACACATTATGTTCAGTGAAGCCTCATCAGAAAATGTCTCAGTGGCTCTCAAGAAGCCTTTCTTAATGAAGAGAAACAGTGAGAAAAGGCTGATGATCTGTAATCAAATGATGAATCCAAATTTAACATGAAACAGATTTCGATCCATCATATAACACTATCTGGAAAATCTCTGATTGGTAACAGCTTCATTTTTCAGTACAATGATCGCAAACACACTGCCAATGCAGTAAAAGCATAGCTGAATAGAAAAACACATAGTGGAGCACTATCAGTGATGGATTGGTCTCCTGAGAGCCCAGACCTCAACATTATTGAAGCAGTAGGGGATCACCTTGACAGAGACCAGAACACAAAGGCTAAAACATCCAAAGAAGAGCTTTGAATGCCCTTCAAGAAGCCTGGAGAACTATTCCTGCAGACTATTCAAAGAAATTAGAGGAAACCTGGACGGGAAGAGTTCAGGCTGTGTTGAAGAATAAAAGTGGTTACAACAAATACTAACTTTCAAGCTTGTTGAAAGTAAAACAAGCCGTTGTTACTTTATAAATTTTAGATGATAGATTCCTGCAACTATTTTCCAAGAAACATGAAACACAAACAAGAAGGATGACTCAAGAGTTTTGCACAGTATAACCACTCTTTGCAGGAAAAATGTCACAGTCGTGTTTGAAGCTTCTTTTAAATTCAAAGGCAGACAGCTGCCCAGGCTTCAACACCACATCAGCAAGTTCAGTAACATCTAACCATGCACCAGCAAGTAATAGAACTTGTTAGACCACACACACTACACAAATATTTCAGTTAAAATAAACAGACTAAACCGTCAGCGGCTACTTTGGTTATTAGTCATAACTTCGGACAGCGAGTGGACGGCGTGCAGAGCCACGCACCAGCTGCAGGTCTGATCGGGAGACACGAGACAGCCGGCTGTCATCGGTCAGTCTGGAGCTCTGAGAAGCGGGAGACACAGGTGATACCATCAAACACTGTCCAGCAAAATCTGAACTCACATCATCACCAACGCATGCAGTGTTCAAAGTAAAGCAAATAACTGTCATGTTTAAAGGAAAGCTAACATGTCCCATACAAATGTGGCCAAACAGACACAAAAATGAGACAGTACAGTATAATAGTGTTTATATTTCAGCTATTTAATTAAAGTCATAAGAGCTCCTAATTTGTGTTTTGTTATTTTTCAGGGGGATGAATAACAAAAAAATGAGGAAGGAAATCTTATTGTTACTGGTCTAATCATTCAATCGTGAACAAAAAATAACTTCCATTATTTGAATGCTCTTCCAGTTAATTCACTGTCCGAACGATCTTCACGGCTTACACACGCTCAAGATCAGCAGCTCCACACGGGACATCCAAATGACAATTTCAGTGTTGGTTTCACAAATGTTACACCCTGTTTGTCATGTTTTAGTTCAGGTTTTTATCTTACGCTTGTTACTGCCTACCTTTCTGTAATAGTTGACCAATAACAGTAATCTTCAAAGGAGTTTTCAAAGACGAATAAAGTTATTAGAAGCAATATTAGAAGTAATTCTATTTACAAGGTGTTACTAAAAAATTCACCTTCTCCATTGAGTACAGCTGCTTTGTTTCTGTAAGCCCTTTTCTAACCACCTGTATGAAGCTTTCATTTTTTGAGGATGTCCAAAAAGCAACCCCATTTAAGTTGATTTTCACCAAGCTGGGAAGAGCCAAATCTGAAGTGAAGGGTGGATTGTGAGTGAAAGCTGTGCTGGTCTGAACAAAACACTGGTATGCTTGCAGTTGTGCTCCTGTTGCAATGCCTCTGGGTCATGATCAGTCCTCCCACAGCAGTGACATGAGGGTCAGGTCAGTTTAACACTCAAACACATGTAAATGAGGTTAAATTTGGACAATTTCTAATCTACAACCTGCCACAGCGCTGGAAATTGTCCCGAAGCGCACACGTAGATCAGACAAATTTAAATGTTTTTCTCTTTCTGACTGCAGTTTGCAAAGACTTTTTGCAGTTTGCAAAGACCATTAAAATGACTAAAATACTTTCCTGCCTTGTGGCAACATGTGACATCCTGCTTTACAACCTATTGTTATCAGTTCAATCTGCCTCTGCATTTTTTGTCAACAAACAAGTTTTAACACGCGGCAGGTGTAGCTGGCTCATCAAGCCATAAGCAAAAGCAGATCTCTCATATTATTCCAGCGTAAGGCTGTTTGGCGGCATGGATCAGAGGTGGACAGCACGCACCGTGAGGTCTAGCCTGGAGCGAGACACTCTGCTTTCATCACTGAGTCTTGAGCTCTGACAGAAAGAGGAAAGTTGTGAGCAGATGCTGCATAAACCTTTTTTCCCCCCCCACATCAGCTTGAATGCTTTAATCAGTTTAACACACAGCTACTGACCCTGTCAGATATGACGCTGTATTCGTCATCACAGCCGTTTCTCTGCGAATCAAGAACCAGAATGAAACACACAGATACCAACTCTGTTTGTGCCATGTGTGCAGCAGTTTGAGCTTTTACATACATCTCTGTCTTTGTGCTTATGTTTCTTCTTTTTCTTTGACTTCTTATGTGAGGAGCCCTTGAGAGTGAAGAGAAGCAGAGCAGAGAAGTATAACACAGAGCCGTTTGGACAACAGGTTTGAGAGTGCAGAAGCAAACCGAGCTGCGAATGTTCATGCACAAATGACTCTCCACACTGAACACACAGCAATTAGTGGCACAATAAAAAACTGATTCAGCCAATAAAATGACTGAGCCAAATATCCGGGATCTTGCATGTCCGGCAGAATGATTAGTATGAAGAATTTTTCCACAATTACGAAGCACAGGAACAAGCTGCACTACAGCCTAAAATAGTGCAGAGTTTGTTTTGGTTGGAGAAGGATGGCTCCTCAACAGATTCCAAGGTAATCAAAGTTCCTCTACAACAGCACAAACAAGAACTCAATGAGCAACTCTGGAAATTGCTTTGGGAGGTTAGTGATTGATAATGCTAAAAAGCCTTCCAGGGAATTGCCGTGGAGTTTAAATATTTTGGCAGTTTTACAAGGCTTAGAGGCTTAACAAGCTTCAGCTCCAGCTGCTTGGCGTAGAGGAGGCCTACAACGCCCTCGATGTTACATCTTTTTAAAAGGGTTTATGCATCATTTGCGACATCGTGCACAGGTTTACTCAAACATCTGATCATAAAGTAAAGAAATAGGCAGATGGATAATGAGAACAGACAATAAGACCTAATCTGTGTGTTATAACTTAAATGTCTGGCACACAAACATGCTTTGTATTACTATTATTTGAGTTACTGCAGGAACTTGCAAACCAACTGTTAGTCAAAGCAAACAATTCACAACAAATCTCTGGGAAAAGCAGTTCAAATTCATCCATCTCGTGTTCAGACACTGTCAGCTCTTACCCCTCCACCATAAGCTCCAACTGCATCAAGATCCGACTGTGCAAAAATACACAACATCATCATGTCACACTAACACCAGCTTGCCAAGTTATCCAGCACTGACACTCTGTCTCCAGAGGAGAGGGTCGGTTTTTGTGAATGAAAATGCAAAGAGAATAACTGATAGGAGAAGAATAAAGGAGGCTTTGTTTTTTTTTGTTTTTTAAAATTACATGAGCTGTTTGTGATACTGACCCTGGCGCTGCCTCGGCTTCCCACTGACATCCGCTCATCGTCGTCTGAGAGCTGCGTGAGAGGGCGAGAGAGTGAAATGGATGGTTAGGGTTCGGAGAATGCAATGGCTTACATCTGCAAACACTCCAAACATGAGATTCTGACAGGAGGCCTCGAGCTGCAAACACACATGGTTCCAAGTCAGCTTTCGGTGTGACCCTAAAGACAGAAACAAACCTCATCTAAACTTCACCACTGCTTCCTTCAGCGCTCTACTCAGATGAATAAAAACAGAGAGCTGCCTAAAGTATGAGCCTGATTCAAGTGTCATGAAAACATGCTGCTGGATCGACCAACACAAAGCCACATATAACTTCTAATTTAGTTACTCTGTGCTGTGTTCGTCCGGCACTGACATTTTCATGGTAAAAGACAATAGATTACAGAGTTAAAGCATGAAGAGGTGGAAACAGAGAGAGAGGACTACAAACCATGTGAATCCGTGAAGGACGTGAGTACCTCTCACTGTCTTCCTGAATAAGGGAGGGGAGGGGTGATGATGGAGGAGAGAAGGGATGGAGGGGGTAGAAAGGTAGGAGAGAGATGTCAAACATCAACAGGACAGACGACGAAAGAGGAAAGTGTCATTTGAGCGTTTAAATGTGTTTTGAAGAGTCCAGGACAGATAAACATTTAAACACCACAAAGAGATCAAAGTCATTTATTGTGTTGCTTTACATTGTTATGTTTTATTTTATTTTTTAATCACACTAAATTTTTTATCTGTGAAAAGTGCTATATAAATACATTTTGCGTACTTGCTGAAGAACTGATAGTTAATTTAAAGCAAAGGGAATCTGTCATGCAATTTGTATTTGCCAGGTGATCAATTAGATTTAACTGCACTGCTGTTTTCACCTTTTAACTGCGTTAAGATGTGGATTAGAACATATCTGTTAGTCCATTGCTGATTATTTGAGATTTCTTTATGTTTTTATTGGCTCAATTTGGAGTCTACAAAGAAAAAATGTGCATTGGGATGGTCAGCTTAAGTGGTTCTTCCTCAGGGCTGAACAGCACCGCAGAATAGTGCCTCCCTTTTGTTTTTTCTCTGGAATTTAGACATTATGCCAAATAAATAAAAAAGTAATTTAAAAAAAACTCTTTATTCTAGTAAACAAATCGCAATATTTGGGTTCAGATGTGATTAAACACTATCCAAACTCCATCATCTTTATTACCTGAATCTATTGGTACAATGCAAACGATGCATATTTTATACCAAGACAACAGCCATGTTTACATGGACACAAGTAACCAGTTAAAAAACCTGACTGGAATAGAAATGCTTCACCTTAACACACCGACTGTAAGATTTTGACCCAATCACACACCTTCGTAGCTTAACCTACCTAGATACAGGTAGGTTACACCAATCCTTAATCAGAGAGGTGTGCATGTAAACATTTTTTCCAGTCAGGAATGTGCTCGATAAGTCGACTAGTCCAGTAATTGTTGCTAATTGCTAATTGTTTACATTTCTACAGCCATTTGCTACTATATAGAGCTGCAGCCTCGACATAGTTGTAGAAAAATGTAAGTCTGTTAATATAGGACCTGATCTTTGTGTTAATATTATTATTATTCTTTTCAATCACAATGTTTTCTTTAGTAGTTTTTTCAAACATTAATTTGTCATATTTTAGTAATATATGAACAACTTTTTAGTAAAACATTTTGACATCATATTTAATATCATAAAATATTTATTTTAAGTGGGGTTTTTTTTTTTACTTCTTCATTGTGTGGAGCATAACATGCAATGTTCATAATGCACATAATGCAAGGTGCCACCCGATTAAGCAGAGTTTAAAGTAAGATTCAGTATTGAACAGATTAATTAACAGTTTCAATGGCCGTTGTTTAGACAGTTTTTGACATTGACCATTAAATAATCCTCAAATTTAATTTGATATCTCGAGTCTTTTAGTTTTAGACTAATTTCTTTTTCTTGTTTAGTCGACTAAGAAATTCTTTGCCAGAAACTCCCCTACTTCCGATGTTCAAAGTGAAATTATCCTTACTGCGCATGTCTGTTACCATTTAGTGAACATAATGTAGGTGCATTCAAAAAGTGACAAATGTGAGAGAAGGGAGAAACTGAAACCCATACGATGCAGCAAGGTGACGATAAAAAAGGAGACATCCAGAGAGCGGTGTTTGTTTACAGCAATCACAACTACTATTTCTACTATTCCCAGAAAGTTGGACAATTCCAAAATGATTTATTCTGTTTAAATGCTTGACACATGATGCAAACGCACATTAGGATCAGATCAGCTCAGTTAGGGTCAATGTAAACAGTGAAGCTCTAATTTGACACATGTAAACATGGCCACTGACACAGTGACACAACCTGGGTAAAAGGAAGCTCACAGAGGCTCATCCATGCACACTTTAAATCCACAGCTGTCAAACAGTAATCCAGCTGACACTCATGCAATTTTCGCCACATGCCAACACTGTTCAAACTGAAACATTATGATACTGCTGGCAATAAACCGTTGCATAAATTCTCATCACAACCTAAAATTACACATCACAATTAGTCAACAGTTACTCCTACACACAGAGTATGATTGCTGTGCCAAACCCTTTAAATAATCTGCACAGTCATACTGAGTAAGTGAATTCAACGCAGTAAATCCCATGCAGTCTCGCATCAGCGGGGCAGATGGTCATGCTGATTCAAAGCCAGATGGTCACCCTGCTTTTTTAATAAGTGGATTATCATTAATGTTCAAGCTTTGATTCCTTATAATCTTTTTTTAAATTTTTTTTTTTAAAGGCTCAACAGGAATGACTGAGAATTCAAACACAGACTGGGCACATGGAAAAGTCAAAATACATGCAGATCTGTTAGTGTTGTTATCACAGCACAGTAACTCTACCATCCATTGTTCAATATCTCCCCATTTGTTGTCCACGCGGTCATCTAATTTGGTGTTCAAGCCATAGTATTTCTAGGGAGAGGCAAGAAACGAGGGCAAGATAAAACAGGTAACTTGTTCCATCTTTTTCTAGGGTGCGATCTGAAGCACACATCGAGGATGATCAAATTAAATCCAAAAATGTGCGAAGTAGAAATGAGGAAGAGTAAACCTACCTTCTGCACCTGAAAGATCTAAGCAGCAACACCGAACAGCGACAGAGGAGAAAGAGCGAAAAAAACAAACAGGAAAGATTTAATTAAATCAACATAAAAAAGATAAGTGATGGAAAAAAACTGAAACACTGGAAAGCGAAAAGCAAAACAGCATGCAGGAAAAAGAGCACGAGGCTCAGGTATGTGAAGAACCCCGCTGCACAGCAGGAACTGACCCAAGAACACAAGTTCACCCGAGATTTAACTACCTGTGAGACGCACTTTCACAGCATTTTCCCATGCTCCTGTAACGTTGGTATCAGTGACGGAAAGCTGTGCCAGTGCCACAATGTCACTTTCACATAGTCTGTGTAACCACGACTACATAGCAGAGAAAACCACGTGACCTCGAGAGATCCTGGTACAGAGGGCTTCCAGAACCACAACCACAGGGTGGTTCTCCAAATAAAAAAAACAAAAAAAAGAAAACATAAAAAATAAGCTCCTGGGTAACTCTACAAAACATCTCAAGCTGTCCTGTTAGGTTAAGTAGATTTGACACCTAGGACAATAAACGTTATGCTTGTGTAGACATAATGCATATGCAGTAAAATTAAAGATGCAGCCCTGAGCTGCATCTTGACTCATCTCAGAATAAAGAGAAGAAACAAAAGGGAAACAGTGAACCAGGTGAAAGGTCACCATTTCAGTTACACTCTGCTTGTTTAATATGCACAGATAAAACAAGGAGTATGTGTGTTTTACGTTGTCACCAAAATGCTGCAGCTGAAGCTCACTGCTTTTCCAAGCTACTTGATGTTTTTCCCCTCAGGAAGCTGAAGGTTGCCTTAGATGATGATGAAGATGATGCTTGTCTATTGAAAAAAAGTCTGCTGATGTAAAAAAACAAACAAAACAATCCCCCTGAAATTACCTTCCAGATTTTAAAAGATATTTGGTTGTTAATTCTTAGTGCAAAATTGTTTGTTTGCACATTTGCTTGGACATCATCAGCAGAGCTCTTGAGACCACACAGTACAGTGTGGAGACCCAGTCATTGTAATTTTGGGTGACGAAAAATGAAAATATATCAGCAGCTTGTACAAAATGTCCAAAAACAACCAAACAAACAAACAAAAACCCCTAAAACCCTCTAGGGTCCAGGAACCTGTGCTCCTAACCCTTTGCTATAAGTGTTACCTTTTTTATTATTGTTATTATTTTATCAAAAGCAGACTAAAGAGATCAAATCAAACCAGCCAGGCTGAGACCCTCTTAGTGTTTCCTGTGGTCGATGTGCTGCGTCACTTGGGGGTGTTGCCATCTGAAATTTGGAATGTTTGAGGAAATTACGGAAAATTAAGGTTGTTTGACTATTCCGATAAATACAATTAACCTTGGCTTTATTTATTTTGGTAGTGGTTGTTATTCGAGATGTTCTGTGCTGGCAAACTTTTAAAGTAAAATAAAGATCTCTGCAGCCTCCAATTTCCTTCATTCTTTGAGTGTTTTGCTAATGTTAACGTGACTGGACAAAACGGAAAGACTGCAATCAGATTTCCTAAAATCTCCCACATACGTTCCTTCACCAGTGAGACCAACACATTGCCTGTTAAATTTAAAACAACCCTACACACTGCTTTTTTGAGTTTGTTTCAAAAACTCTGCTGACAGCAGGACACACTAAAAACACACCCCACCCTCAATGACGTACTTTCTACCCCAGTGCTTTAATCCAGATTTACTACCACTGTCTCCCTTGTATACTTGCCCAATAAATGGATTGGCCACTTTTGCAGTTCTGGTCATCACAAAGTGATTTGCAGATGACCGCTCTGCCCGCTGCATCGCTGTAGTAGCAGCAGCACTTTTAGGTGATCAATGGAGAACAGCCTCTTGCCCTCACCTAATCTATAATTAACCTGAAATGGAAAGCCACGTCCCCACAACGATAACCTCACAGATATGCTGTCGACTCAGGAAAGTCATACTAAACTTCAAGAAGGTGAAAGTGAGTTACCGGTATAAAGGTCAAATTTATTTATAAATATCGCTATAATTCATATCGTTGCACAGCCAGAAACGTCCTCTTTTAGAACCTCAGACGCTTCTGACCTTGTGAACTTTGATCTTGCTTCAAGATCAAAGCAATCACAATACTACAATGTAGTTAAAGAGAATTTGATTTGTATCTAAAAATGAAAGAGTTGAACACCAAAGAGCGTAATATTGCACAAAAATGACCAGTGTCCAGTCTAATCAGATTAGGAAGTGACTGGAGGGATCTCGTTTGCTTACTTATCTCTTATTACGTGTCTGGACAGCCTATTAGCAAGAGAGCCAGGCACCGTCATAATCCCATTCATCAACCGAGTTACACAATCAGCCTACATGCCAGCACCGGTCCCCTTTGACTCACCGAGCGCACCTTCTTAATTGGAGGGGTTTTTGGGCGCCTGGTGAGGGCAGCCCTCAGCCCCCCTCCGGTAAGCCGCCGCCCGGCCGTCCTGCTGCCCTCAGGAAACCAGGAAAGGTCGCATCCCTCAGCGGTCAACAGGTAACACCATGACCAGTCATGAAGGCAGGCTGATGGTATGACAGAACGCTGAGATTTGAGCTCAGAGCACTCGGAGCAACCAAGGTTTGAATTTCCCCTCGCTTTTAATGCTGCAAAGCTTCTGCTAATAATCCACTCCTAATTTCTGTCTTCAGCGTATGAGGAAACATCCAAAAATCCAGAAGGTGGCCGAGAGCACAGCAACCCATCGCTGGCGTCCACGATACGGCAACAACAACAATAACAACAACGACTGCTCCACTGCAGGCTGGACCACAGAGCACAACCTGCTAAGCCACTTTAGAACTCGGCTAAAAGGTTTAAAGGACACACAAACACACACACTCAGCTTGCCAGTGACCACTAATCTGGCATATGTGACCGATGTGTGTGTGTGTGTGCGTACATGCAGAAGATTATTGTTCAGGCTTGACACCTGTGTTTTGATTGGTGAAATAACAATAAATTTATATTATAATTACTAATAATCCTAAAAATATCTTTTAAAAATAGGCATTCCATATTGACGAGCCATAAAAGGTTCAGTTTGATGTAAAATACTAATTTCTGTGAATAACATACATCGGACTGTCTCAGTATAATGCAGTGACCTGGTATTAATATGGACGCTGTCCCACCTAACCATTACTGAGGCCACCAGTCTGTGCCATTGAGTGTCTCCTACAGTGTAATAACACCCTCAGCCACACTGAAAACACAGCCCAGGAATGGTTCCGTGACCAAAAAGCCCACGGTGCTGATCGGTATCCAAGTGTCTGTGACATGGATGAAACTGAAGTATCTGCTGCTAACGTTGTGGTTATGAGGTTCTGTGTTTATACTCCGAGGGGTCAAAGGTGTTTGGGTTGCACAAGGGGGGGCTTCACAGTAACCCAGGCCATAAGGCATGTATGGGTGCCTGCGCAACCAGTGAGCTAAACTGGCACTCATTTTGCTCTGTGTCTGTTTGCCTAAAAGGTTTATGGAATTTTACTTTTAATGTGGTGGTTGCTGAAGCTGCGAAAGCACATGCATGTTGTCTACTAAAATCACAGCGAACTCTGGTCACACAAAGGTTAATGTTGACAGTCACTTGAAATTATGAAGGCACTTATTGTTTTGGAGCAAACACAGCACTCAGTGACTGCAGGAGTTGATGGCAGCAGCCTCCATCTGCAGTATGATGCACCCACAAAAACTGCTCGAGGGATGTAGCAAAGTAGCTAAGAAGCTTTCAACCTCCCCACATCTCAATCTGATGCAGCATCTGTGGCTCCAGCCTGAAACCCACAGAATCCAAAGGGGTGTCTGCTAACGTCACAGTGCGAGAAAGCCAGAACACCCCCAGAGATTCCATGTCCGTGTGCGCAAGCAGCACAGGAAATAAAGTTTATCGACTGAATTTCCAGAAATATGCTTCAACAGTACAGAAACTGTGACTGACGTCTGCCACAGCAGACAATTATTTCACTGTCATTTATTCTTCTGCTTTTTTAAAACAAACAAATAAAAAAATCCCTTCACACAGAAACCGAGCAACTTTTGAGTTGAGTTTCCACAGGTGCTAGGCAGTCTGTAGTCTGTTTATGTGTTCAGGATTACTACTGACTAATAATAGTGAGCTCGGAAAAGCGAGACTCCCCGTGGTTCAGATCAGAGGTGCTCAACCAAAGAAAGAAAAACTCATGTAACAGCACTGAGCTCACATCCAAACACCTTTCAGCGCTGCACCTGATTCAACACAACTCAGAACACAGCACGGACGCCAGCACCGACACTGGAGCTGCCGAGGGTCCAGTACAGAGATTTATGGGGTTCTTTGCTCTTTTTGCGAGACATGTACAAGTTTTCCACAACGCATTGGTAAAAATGGACATGTTAAATAAAAAAAAACAACAAAGATTTAATTCACTGCTTACTTCCCAGGAAGGTAGTGCATCACATTACGGGGCTACTAATATCTGGAATAAGTTATGTCAGTGTTACACTATGTACTGTATTTAGCTACCCAAAGAGACAAAGCCACAAAAATAGAAATGCAATAACAACCAACTCTGCAGGTTAGACTTTCTGACCTTTCAAAGGTGTACAGTTTATAACAGATAATGCAAATTACTGTTGTGATTGTTTTGGAAGAAGCCCTTTACATGTGACGGTTAATTAACAGGAAATGTGCTCCGTGGTGTCTGAAGAAAAAGCTCTAATTTTATGTTACTCAAAAACTTTCCATGTGTCAATATCTGTATCAGCGTGGGATGAGATTAACTTTAAAAGGTTTTGTTGAAAGAGTAATTAGTGAGAACTTTGGAGGACTTCCTCGTTTGCTATGGTTATTTAACCTCAGTATCAGCTGTTGGATATTTAGCCAACCTAGAAACCTCGTAACTAAGGAATTAGTTTGTTACAACATGTTTGTGTATAGGTGGGGGCACTGTTTTAGTACATAAATAATAGATGTAATTTCCCTTTCCGAAAGCCTTAAAGCTGGATTCTTTAACATGTCCAGCAGGGGTTGACTCCTTAGAGCCCACTCTTATCTGGTTTCAAAAGGCCAAGATTGCTAACATGCTCAGCTAGAGGCTACAGAATGGGAGCCCAAAAATTAATGAGTGACTTCCTGCTTGTTACGTCCATCTTAATTATATGGTTCTATGGTTCGAATCAACTCATAAATTCAGTGTGTTGAACAACATCATCTATAGCTGTTGGAGGTTTTTTTAATGAAGGAATTTTAAAAAAGTCAATCAAAAGTCAGTGTCTAAACTACATTTTTACATCAATCCAAATCAAATCCACAGGAATGTTCTTTCTATGAACGGCAAGGATTGCTTGGATCTCGACAGCAGTGCTCCTAAGTGCTGCAGTCAAAGTTCCTCTGACCTTTGACCCACAGGATCAAAGAGTCAGCTTAAGAGCAGAAAGCAGAGCTGACCGGAAATGCTTTCGGTCCAAACAAAACCAAGTGTCTAGTAACAACAAGTCTGCTTAAATCCTTTTGTTTTTCAGAACAGTGTTAGCCATTTGGCAGACAGCAGAAATACTTGTTTAACTCCATCAGTGCTCCGCTGTTTAGATTCAGCATGAAATATTAAACTCTTACGGATGTAAAATCTTGCATATCTGTCCTAACATGAAGTTTTGTATTATGCCATATCGTGTGTCACATGTCATGGGGTATTTTGACCTGTATACCTCTTTCTGTTGTCGCTCCAGCTCCTTCATGCGGATCTCTCTGGCCTCTGCCCTGGCTGCCCTCTTTGCTGCCAGCCTGGCCTCGGCCTTGGGATGGAAAGGGGGGGGGGGATAAAAACACAGAGAGAGAAAATTAAAAAAGGAGAAGTTAGATAGCAGCAGACTTAGTCCAACTCACACACATCTATACATCTATAAATTGTCAACACAAATGTGAACAGAGCTCCAGTTCCTTGACAGAGTTAGTTTGGGAACTTTGTGACACATTGTTGGGAAACAGAAATAAAAACAGCCACACAGTTGAAGATTAATATCACAGGGGGACACTACCAGCCCCTAAAAACCAGTCAATAAAGCAGTGAACAAACACAGGACATCAAGAATCATTTGAACTCTGAACAGATCTCATGGACTTTATTTAGAAGCAGACAATCTAGTGAGACTCCTAGGCCCCCGTACATTTGAAAGACTTGCCTCTGCTCCACTCAGCACTCAGGCGAGAGCAGGGTCTTTCCCTTAAAAGGATCTCTCTCTCAGAGTGTGTGCTGCAAGTGTGTGTGTTACAGTGTGCGTGTGTGTAAGCATTTCCTTCCTCTAACTTGTGGTAGACACTACACGGCTGCAGCCTCTAGGCGGGGTAACTGTAACAGCTCATACCGCTGCACTAATGCATTTCCCCAATGTCAGTCACCATGACTGAGTAACAGGAAAACACTAAATACAGATTTGGTTTCAGAAGAAAGCACGATCACACACATGCACGCTATCAACAAAGTTCAGCTCAGGACTCACATACACGTGTCTGCATTCATTAAAAAGCTTCACCAGGGGATACAAACAACCTTGGCCAAATCTGTGTTGTCATCAACAACACTGATGTTCTGCACCGCAGATAACAGAAGCACATTCATCTCAGTCTTAAAATGGGAGCAAACTGTCAAGCTAGATTCCTGCGCTACCATTAGCAAACTTCAGCCTCTGTATGAGATGAAATGAGGATCTTATCAAAGGCACAGATCATTGTTTTGGCCCCCAGCATCCTTTACATGTTGTTCTCCAGATGCTTCCATCAGGGCAAAGGTTTGAGCTCCCTGAAGGCACCAATAATAGATACACCGAGTAATTTCTTCCATATGCTGCTTCTTTAAACCAATCGTGGCCCTTTCCCTCTGACAGCAGGAGCTTGTACTGTATTTCTATAATCTGTTGGACTAGAGTATATAAAGCAAACGGCCCCTCAGGGATATTAAAGCTTTACGCAACATCTCTGCAGGTCTCTACTCATGTTCACGCTCAAACTGCGTCACTTAGTCCATTGTTTTCACTTTTTAGTTTTAACAATTTCCTCTCCTTTGCACAAAGAAGAGAAGATGCTCTCTGAATATGTACATTAAAAGAAAGAACAGCATTTGGTCTGTATGTCAGCATGTTCGCTGCGTATCAGCAGTGCTTGCTGAGCAAACTTTATTCAGTCACTTTTATTCAGCTTGTGTTCATGCCGTCAGCAACACTTGCACGCTCGCTTTGTTACTATCCTGCTTTATTATCCAGGTTTTTATATTCCTGTATCATTCTGAAATTGTCCAGGTTAAAGTTCATGTGTCTTTGATGCCTTGCCATGACACAGAGTCTCATTTGGGAAGTGATGAGTGGGCAAAACTTCCACTTATGTCACTTGACTATTTTATGATTCAGCGTTTAATTCTGTTTGTTGCATTATTTAAACAACTTTAAAGTGCACACTTGAGGGGGAAAAGAAAAATTCAGTGAGTGCTTTCTGCAGGAAACCTTGTACAACATTTAGACATTTATTAATCTCAAAACTAATAAAACACTAAACTGACTGCAGCATTTGCGAGGTGTGGTGATGTGGTGAAGCTCACCAAAAACAGACACACAGCAGTTCCTCCCAGGCTTCCTCCACAGTAAAGCTGTAGTTATATTACAGAAACTGAAACTGGCATCTGTTTATTATACATGCTGGGTCATGGATGCCGCTGGTTCACCAATAAGCCGTTTTTGACAGCTGTCATTATACGAGCAAACATCTGGATTTAAAGCTGACTTGATCAGCAAAGCTGCAGGTGAAAATATGAACTACAACTAACTGAAGTGCTGTGAGCATTCATGACTTACTTAAAGCCTGCTTTTTTAGCGTGTAGATCCCTGTGATGCTATGGCCGCTTGATAGAAGTTATGAGCTAGGAAGTGTACAGAATGACTCACACAGCGACCATCTGCTTGAATCTGCTCTTAAGATGTCTTGGAGGTATGGAACCGGGCAACAGAGGATTGAAATATCTGAACAGCAGGCTGGTCGCTGCCTCAGTAGAGATGCGTTTTGCCCTGCAGTGAACTGTGTCTATTTGCCGAGCACCTCCTGCACATGAATGCGAGCCATGTCACCATAATGCATTCCAGGAACTTCCAACTCAAAAGAATTGTCCCGAGTAGGTCTTGCCAAATAACTAAACATTGTTAAATAATGATAAAAAAGCCCAAAACAAAACGCCTTAATTATAAAGAATTTTTTGAAAGGCTCCTAAAAATGATGATGCAGGAGTCTATATTGACTCTGTGCTGCACTCACTGCCTGCATAAGTGCCATTTCCTCCAAGTCAATGCTCACTGTCCTTGGGACTCTTTGCATTTCTACCAAAAGCTTTAAGACACAAATCCATCTACACTATGTATGCACACATAAACTCCCTCTTAGACATTTTCTCTTCCATGAAATTAGAGGTGGCAGAAGAGTAACATGGCATTAGTCTGTTTGACCTCGAGCAGCATAAATACAGCACTTAAAAACTTCCATTAGCATTGGTACACAGTTGCTCCATCAAACAGCAGGCTCTGGGGTGAAGTGCTTTTTATCCACTCTGTCAGTGAGGTTGTTCAATAGTTCAACCACCAACTTAATTCAGATCAAAGACAAGAGCAAAACAGACCTGCAACAGGCAGATTAAGGAGCATGAATCGCTGGAAATATTTTTATGGGTGGGCACATAGTGCTGTACACAATGCAACACAATTCAGTTCAATAAGTGTCAGAAAAATGTGAACAATTGCATACTGCATTAGACTTTCCCGTCAAGTCACAAAGGTTGCCTTGCAGTCAGCATCTATTGTGTAGACCAATTTGTTTTACTGGTGCCTTTAATTACAGGCCAGCTGGGAAAACTACATATAACAGGTCACATGTTTGTTTGCTGTATCACACTCATATTTGCACTGGCTAAATATTAAAAGATGGTGTGATGAAGGGATGAAATCAGTATCGGCACTGGTTGAAGTGTCTCTTTCATTTAATTTCAGTCTGCAAATTTCGTTTTTCTGACTCTACTCAAGTAGTTTTGCATGATTCACAGTTCTATTTGAAATGAGTCATTTTAGCTCCTCCCTCACGTTAAATACATTTTCTTCTGATTGGTTACATATCTTAAAATGTTGCACAGCAGGTGGGTGGGGCTTCTGTGCTCACAGTCAGACCTTTGTGCTCATATTTAGGGGTATCCCCTCCATGACATCATACAGAGACAAGAGAAGGAAAAATTGTTTAAAACTGAGTCTGAGGGCTAAGCTTTAGGCTCATGGTCATTACTGGCATTCATCTTCATTACTGGAAACTCTGGTCATGCTTAATATGAACATCCACTATCCACTTTCATTCAATTCCAACTTGTAGTCTATTTCTTTGATTAATTTATATTAAAGGTTATCAATCCTATGTCTAAAACGGTTTATACTCCCGGGATTTGTGATATGTTTTAGGACAAATGAGTGTATTATGCTTGAGGTGTTCGCCTAGCTTGGGAAGCTCGGGAATTATTAATTTCATATGGAAAAACAAAAAATTCACTCATTTCAGGATGAGGTAAGAGACCTTCTTTCATCTTCTTGTTCAGTTTAAAAACTTTGAAAGTCAAATTTCAGACACAAACTGCTTAAAGGAACCCGCCTTTCAAACACCCGCCCTTCAAAAACCTTCACAACACTAAGAGGTGTGAATTATTTCATCATGACCACATTACTGCCTTCCTTTTACTGTATGGCCATAGAGTGCAGTACTTAAGCACACAACAGCTTAACTCAAGACACACAAAAAAAGCAAAAGCTGAAGTTAAAATAAACAGTTAAACGGGGTACCAGCTTTCAGTTAAAGTAATCCAACATGATGCGAGCAGCTGTAACAGACTGGGTCATCTTTCCATGCGAGTGTATGCTGCATCAGCCTCCAGTCAAAAAGATGCACATAACTAGGCCAAAAGACACACTCATACCTCCTTTCTCTTTCCTCCTCTAAGGCTATTTATACCGACCTACATGGACTCTGGTTCTATCAAACTGTTCTAATTCAGCATGATGTCAATGGGCTGTCTGCTCTCCTGAGAGACAGTGAGCTAGTTCAGTGCAAAACTGGGATGCTCTATAGTGATTTGGAGATGCGACAGAAGAAGAAAAAAATACACAAGTTTAAGTGGGAATACTTCACAGTGGAAAAATCATAAATTACTATTTTGGTCAATTATGGCAATCTCAGACATTTAATGTAGCTATTCATCACCTTAACAAGCATTATGGATTTAACTTTGTTTTGTTTGTTTTCTTATAAACCCTCAAACTTTAAATACATTTCAAATGGAAAATAAATAGAATAATTTGGGTTGAAAAAGAGATGACAGTTCACACACAGTATTTTCATCATCTTTCCTTAATTGATGAGCGCAATTTATTGTGTAAGACCAAATGAGAGATTTGGAGAGAAAATTAATGCAAAATAATAATAATTTTATTCCCATAATCATAGTTTCACAATCATTAGAAGCCACAATCGTAGCTGCAAAAACCCCCAAACCAAAACAATGATTCACCCCCTAGTTTAATGAAGGTTCATTAAGACATACTGCGTAAAGGAAGATTATATAGCCTCCTTCTAGCTCTAAGTTGCAGAGTTTGTTTTTTTTATTCCATTTTAATCATAATAATATGTTACTTAAGTACCTAGAGAGGTCAAATTTATAGTTCTGGCTTCTGTCAACTTGATCCCTTGAGTCTCCTGACAGCCTCTCGGGGCACCAAGTCCTCAA